GTGTGTGTGTGTGTGTGTGTGTGTGTGTGTGTGTGTGTGTGTGTGTGTGTGTGTGCACGTGCATGTGTACTCACCTAATTGTGGTTGCAGGGATCAAGACTCAGCTCCTGGCCCCGCCTCTTCACTGATCACTACTGGGTCTTCTCTCTCCCTGCTCCATGAGCTTTATCATACCTCGTCTTAAAGCTATCTATGGCTCCTGCCTCCACTACCTCACTTGGCAGACTATTCCACTTCCTGACTACTCTATGACTGAAGAAATACTTCCTAACATCCCTTTGACTCATCTGAGTCTTCAACTTTCAATTGTGACCCCTTGTTTCTGTGTCCCCTCTCTGGAACATCCTGTCTCTGTCCACCTTATCTATTCCATGCAGTATTTTGTATGTCGTTATCATATCTTCCCTAACCTTCCTGTCCTCCATTGTCGTCAGGCCGATTTCCTTTAGCCTTTCTCCGTAGGACAGTCCCCTTAGCTCTGGAACTAGCCTTGTTGCAAACCTTTGCACTTTCTCTAATTTCTTGACGTGCTTTACCAGATGTGGGTTCCAAACTGGTGCTGCAGTCTTCAGTATGGGCCTGACGTACATGGTGTACAATGTCTTGAACAATTCCTTACTAAGGTATTGGAATGCTATTTTCATGTTTGCCAGGTGCCCATATGCTGCAGCAGTTATCTGGTTGATGTGTGCTTCCGGAGACGTGCTCGGTGTTATACTCACCCCAAGATCTTTCTTCTTGAGCAAGGTTTGCAGCTTTGGCAACCTAGCCTATACTCTGTCTGCTGTCTTCTTTGCCCTTCCCCAATCTTCATGACTTTGCGTTTTTTTTTTTTATTATCACACTGGCCGATTCCCACCAAGGCAGGGTGGCCCGAAAAAGAAAAACTTTCACCATCATTCACTCCATCACTGTCTTGCCAGAAGGGTGCTTTACACTACAGTTTTTAAACTGCAACATTAACACCCCTCCTTCAGAGTGCAGGCACTGTACTTCCCATCTCCAGGACTCAAGTCCGGCCTGCCGGTTTCCCTGAACCCCTTCATAAATGTTACTTTGCTCACACTCCAACAGCATGTCAAGTATTAAAAACCATTTGTCTCCATTCACTCCTATCAAACACGCTCATGCATACCTGCTGGAAGTCCAAGCCCCTCGCACACAAAACCTCCTTTACCCCCCTCTCCAACCTTTCCTAGGCCGACCCCTACCCCGCCTTCCTTCCACTACAGACTGATACACTCTTGAAGTCATTCTGTTTCGCTCCATTCTCTCTACATGTCCGAACCACCTCAACAACCCTTCCTCAGCCCTCTGGACAACAGTTTTGGTAATCCCGCACCTCCTCCTAACTTCCAAACTACGAATTCTCTGCATTATATTCACACCACACATTGCCCTCAGACATGACATCTCCACTGCCTCCAGCCTTCTCCTCACTGCAACATTCATCACCCATGCTTCACACCCATATAAGAGTGTTGGTAAAACTATACTCTCATACATTCCCCTCTTTGCCTCCAAGGACAAAGTTCTTTGTCTCCACAGACTCCTAAGTGCACCACTCACTCTTTTTCCCTCATCAATTCTATGATTCACCTCATCTTTCATAGACCCATCCGCTGACACGTCCACTCCCAAATATCTGAATACGTTCACCTCCTCCATACTCTCTCCCTCCAATCTGATATTCAATCTTTCATCACCTAATCTTTTTGTTATCCTCATAACCTTACTCTTTCCTGTATTCACCTTTAATTTTCTTCTTTTGCACACCCAAATTCATCCACCAATCTCTGCAACTTCTCTTCAGAATCTCCCAAGAGCACAGTGTCATCAGCAAAGAGCAGCTGTGACAACTCCCACTTTGTGTGTGATTCTTTATCTTTTAACTCCACGCCTCTTGTCAAGACCCTCGCATTTACTTCTCTTACAACCCCATCTATAAATATATTAAAGAACCACGGTGACATCACACATCCTTGTCTAAGGCCTACTTTTACTGGGAAATAATTTCCCTCTTTCCTACATACTTTAACTTGAGCCTCACTATCCTCGTAAAAACTCTTCACTGCTTTCAGTAACCTACCTCCTACACCATACACTTGCAACATCTGCCACATTGCCCCCCTATCCACCCTGTCATACGCCTTTTCCAAATCCATAAATGCCACAAAGACCTCTTTAGCCTTATCTAAATACTGTTCACTTATATGTTTCACTGTAAACACCTGGTCCACACACCCCCTACCTTTCCTAAAGCCTCCTTGTTCATCTGCTATCCTATTCTCCGTCTTACTCTTAATTCTTTCGATAATAACTCTACCATACACTTTACCAGGTATACTCAGCAGACTTATCCCCCTATAATTTTTGCACTCTCTTTTATCCCCTTTGCCTTTATACAAAGGAACTATGCATGCTCTCTGCCAATCCCTAGGTACCTTACCCTCTTCCATACATTTATTAAATAATTGCACCAACCACTCCAAAACTATATCCCCACCTGCTTTTAACATTTCTATCTTTATCCCATCAATCCCGGCTGCCTTACCCCCTTTCATTTTACCTACTGCCTACTTTGCATTTGGCGGGGTTAAATTTGAGGAGCCAGTTGCTGGACCACGTGTCCAGCCTGTCCAGGTCTCTTTGTAGTACTGCCTGATCCTCATCTGATTTAATTCTCTTCATTAACTTTACATCATATGCAAACAGGGACACTTGTGAGTCTAACCCTTCCATAATGTCATTCACCAAAAATAGCTCTGGTCGTAGGACTGACCCCTGTAGGGCCCCGCTTGTCACAGTCACCCACTGTGATACCTCATCACATACAATGACTTGTTGCCTCCCTGTCAGTTATTCTCTGATCCATTGCAGTGCCCTTCCTGTTATATGTGCCTGATCCTCTAGCTTCTGCACTAATCTTTTGCTAGGAATTGTGTCAAAGGCTTTCTTGCAGTCAAGAAAATGCAATCAACCCACCCCCCTCTCTCGTGTCTACTTCTGTTACTTTGTCATAAAACTCCAGAAGGTTTGTGACACAGGATTTGCCTTCCATGAATCCGCGCTTATTGTCGTTTATAAACTTGCTCAGTTCTGGGTGCTCCATCACTCTCCTCATGATAATCTCCTCCATGACTTTGCATACTATACACGTCAGTGACACTGGTCTATAGTTTAGTGCCTCGTTTCTGTCTCCTTTCTTAAAAATGGGAACTACATTTGCTGTCTTCCATACCTCAGGTAGTTACCCAGTTTCAATGGATGGATTGAAAATTGTTGTTAGTGGAATATACAGCATCTCTGCTCCCTCTCTAAAGACCCACAGAGAGATGTTGTGTGCATGTACTCAGTTATACTCGCCTAGTTGTGGTTGCAGGGGTTGAGTCACAGCTCCTGGCTCCACCTTTTCACTGGTTGCTACTCGATCACTCTTTCTGCTCCACGAGCTTTATCATACCTCTTCTTACAGCTATGTATGAATCCTGCCTCCACTACATCACTACCCAGACTATTCCACTTCCTGAGAACTTTGTGACTGAAGAAATACTTCCTAACATCCCTGTGGTTCATCCGAGTCTTCAGCTTCCAACTGTGACCCCTTGTTGCTGTGTCCCATCTCTGGACCATCCTGTCTCTGTTCACCTTGTCTATTCCTCTCGGTATTTTATTTTATTTTTTTTTTTTTTCAACAAGTCGGCCGTCTCCCACCGAGGCAGGGTGACCCAAAAAAGAAAGAAAATCCCCAAAAAGAAAATACTTTCATCATCATTCAACACTTTCATCACACTCGCACATTATCACTGTTTTTGCAGAGGTGCTCAGAATACAACAGTCTAGAAGCATACACATATAAAGATACACAACATATCCCTCCAAACTGCCAATATCCCAAACCCCTCCTTTAAAGTGCAGGCATTGTACTTCCCATTTCCAGGACTCAAGTCCGACTATATGAAAATAACCGGTTTCCCTGAATCCCTTCACTAAATATTACCCTGCTCACACTCCAACAGATCGTCAGGTCCCAATTACCATTCGTCTCCATTCACTCCTATCTAACACGCTCACGCACGCTTGCTGGAAGTCCAAGCCCCTTACCCACAAAACCTCCTTTACCCCCTCTCTCCAACCCTTTCGAGGACGACCCCTACCCCATATCCTCCCTATCTCTCCTGTCTTCCAGTGTCGTCAAGTCGATTTCCCTTAACCTCTCCTCATAGGACATAACCCTTAGCTCTGGGACTAGTGTTGTTGCAAACCTTTGCACTTTCTCTAATTTCCTTACGTGCTTGTCTAGGTGCGAGTTCCAAACTGGTGCTACATATTCCAATGTAGACTTGTATTTTTAGTAGTGGATAATTGCTTAGTGCAACTAACTATCTACTGCTTGGACATGCAGCAGGCATGTGTGAGTGTGTTTAATAGGAGTGAATGGAGACGAGTGGTTTTTGGGACCTTACGAGCTGTTGGAGTGTGTGCAGGGTAATATTTTGTGAAGGGATTCAAGGAAACCGGTTAGCCAGACTTGAGTCCTGGAGGTGGGAAGTATAGTGCTTGCACTTTAAAGGAAGGGTTTGGAATATTGGCTGTTTGGAGTGACTTCTAAACTGTTGTATCTGGGTGCCTCTGCAAAGACAGTGATTACGTGTGAATGATGGTGAAAGTATTTCTTTTTTTGGGAGACAGCCAACATATTATAAAATAAAAGACTTGCTTAGTCATGTATATTGGCTTAGGCACTGAAATAGTTACCACATATTAGAATTTGATAATGATGCACTTGAAGTAGTCAGTCTAGCATGAAGTATTTATTAAGAAATTAGACAAACTTAGAAGCTTTGGTTATGACATTGGTCGAGGGAGGAGCAAAAAGTTGACATAAGTTTCTCCTGCTAAGTGCAGGTTATTTGTGAAATGTTGCAGCCATGCTGTTGTCATGTCTAGTCTTCATGTGTTTATGCTATACTCTATCATGTTACTGTTTTTTTCATCAGAAAATGTTGTGAGAGCTTCCGAGATGCAGACGGAAAACATCCAGGGTATTGATGACCTCTCCTCAGCTATCAACAGTCTGGATGATCATGTACAGGTTGTCACTATAATACATTGTTAATGTTGCTACCTTGAATGCTCACATGCAGGTTGGCACTATGATACACTCACTTGTACAGTGTCAATGTTGCTACTTTAGGAAAGGTACCTATATGCTAGTCAGAGTTTTGTAATCGAAGAAATTTGAAATATCTTCATCTTTTTGGATTAAACCAGATAATTTTTCATCAGCAAAGTGTGGTATGACCCTGTGTGACCTTACTGCTTCTCCTTAAGAATAATAATAAGAATGTTGCTAGATATGTATGTATGTATTATTATCATAATAGAATATACAGTAAGTTCTTGATTTTTAGTTTAAATAAAACATGTGTTTTTTAATTTTATTTACATTATGCTGGAGTAAAATTTAGTGGATAATATATGACATGACTGAGTTAGTGAGGTGTGCATATTGCCCACGTTCACTCAATTCTTATATTCAAGAATAAGACAATTGTGCAACATTTGGGAATCTATTGAGGAAACACTTTGCCAGCCATTGGCTTCTTCAGTCTGATGCAGATAAAAATGTTGGAAGATGAGGAGGAGTTTGAGGTACTCAGTCCCTCAGTCTGGAGTTGATGTGTTCAGTCCATCACAAGTGCCAAACACTGCAACATCTTGGGATCTTGATAGAGGCAGTTCTTCTACACTTACCTAACCTACAGGCATGACCTATTTATATTAGTGTATTTGTCTGATGGTAACAGCCTCCTCCTGCTTCTACTCACCTGACTGTGTTATATAAGCCACTTCTCTGAGCATATGCTATACTTTTCTCAAGTTTGATGGACTGAACACATTGACACCAGGCTGAGGGACTGATTACCTCAAACTGCTCCTCGTCTTCCACCATCCTTACTTGTATTGGACTGAAGAAGCCACTGGCTGACGAAAAATTCCCTCACTAAAGATTCCCAAATGTTGTGCGAGTGTCTCATTCTTCAACTTGTCGCTTTTCTAAACCATTTATGTCACAACTCTTATACTGCAATTAATATCAGTTTTTTTCCAGCATTTGTTGAAAAATAAACTTTCAACTGATCTTTATTATTGCATTTTTTGTTAATTAACACATTAGCCATTTCTCATAGAGGCAAGGTGACCCGAAAAAGAAGAAATGCTTTCATCATTATTCACTCCATCAGTATCTTGCCAGAGGTATGCCCAGCACTACTGTTCAGAAACTCCAACATATCTGTGTACGAATGGTATATAATACCGACAAGTTGAGATTAAGACACATGTGCAACATCTGATAAAGCCACTGGATGGCGAAACGTCTACAATAAAGATACCCAGATGTTGCACATGTGTCTTAATCCAACATATCTTTGCCCCTCCTTCAGAGCACAGGCACTGTACTTCCCCACCTACAGGACTCAAGTCTGGCTAATTGGTTTTCCTGAATTCTTTCATAATTGTTGCTTTGCTCACACTCCAACAGCACATTAAGTCATAAAATCCATTTGCCTCTGCTCACTCCTAATACACTCAGTATGTATCTTCTCCATAGTATCTAGTACAGCATGCTGTTTGTTTCATACTGCTGTAACCATTATGTTGCAGTATGTACAGCATGCTGTGTTTACTGCTGTAAACATCACCTTGTAATAATCCTGGTGTACTTAAATGTACAGGTGTCCCTATTTTCATGCAGGAGATGTAGTCTCATGACAGTTGTACTCAACTCAATAATGATATCAACACTTCACTCTGCTTAACAAGATTGCTGTATACTTTACCAGTTGCACTGGTCATGTATAGTAAATGCACGTCACACACATAAAATTACTGAAACAGGTAAGTAGGACCTGAGTCCTGGAGGTAGGAAGTACAGTGCCTGTACTCTGAAGGAGGGGTGGGCATATTGCATTTTGGAGGGACACCTAAGTTTTAATGTTAGCATTTCTCTAGCAAAATAGTGATAGAGTGAGTGATGGTGAAAATGTTTCTTTTTTGGGTTACCCTACCTTGGTGGGAGACGGCCAGTGTGTTGAAAAGAACTGTTGATAGAATTGCTACAGTATTCTAAATAATACCAAACTCTCATAAGATAAACTCGTATGATGTGAATGGAAACCATCAAAATTGATAGAAACACAGTTTGCCACCAGTTTGTCTTTTAAAGTAAAAAGGGTGTTTTACAATCTCCAGGCAGGTCTTCAGGAGATCAGAAACTGTGTTGCCAACCTACGACAGGAGAGAACAGATCTACAGAAGCGTCTTAAGACTCTTTCAGATGAAGTATATCATCTCTCAGGAGAGAAAGACAAGTATCACCAAGCAGTGAGAGACTTACAGCAGGTACTATTAAATACTTTTTGCATTCAGTAAGTTAAAATATTACTGGGATAAATTGTATATTATTAACAGTGGCTTGTGGGGGATAAACTTTCATTTGTCTGTTTGTGGCACCATTAATCTCTAATTCAACCAAATTATCATAACATAAAATGACTTAGAAAAATGACATGGAAAACCCTATGTCCCATGATCACAGCATGCGTTTTCAGTAGTATGCGATTTAAATTTATGGTTTTCTTTCCAATAGAAGTGTGCCATTTTCATTGGTGAGGCTCATTTCTATTAAGGAGTGGCACAGCAGACAGGTAGGAGACTTATTGCTACACATTGGCCAACTCTATTGTTGTAGCAGTGGAGGGGTGGTTGTGAGGGAGGGTGAGTGAATATAAACAAACAGCCTCTTGTGTGGGTCATTGTATCTGGAAGAGTATTGCATGACTTCCTCAATGTTCATTGCTCAGTTTTTCCTTCTTTTTATCACCCCATCTCATTGCCAGATATTTATCATGGCATCCAAACAAAAGGCAGAGGATGCTGGTGAAACATCCTCTTCACTTTGTGGAGAGGATGCTTCGAAAAATATAGAGGTACTTGAGTTGTTGAAGGGAGGTGCACATGTTATGGAGATGGCATGAGAGTTTGTTGTTAGACAATCGACGATTCGTTCAATTTGAGACTGAGAAACGAAGATAAAGGCTTGTGCATTGAGTAATCCTCATTGTGATGCAGCTCAATAAAACAAAGTTTACAAAGTGAGTGAATTGAAAAGCAATGAAAGATGTTCAACTTGCAGGTCTTATTGGGAAAAAGGTTTATCATACTATAAAACAGTGTGTAAGGAGGACAGACCTAAAATGAGTTCACAGTTGGTTCTGGTTTAGAATGCACATTGGGTTGTATAAAGAACTGCAGAGTAAAACTCCAGTGGCATATGAAAGTACTTGAGCACTCCACTACAGCAATCAACTAATGAAGTTGCATCAACATCCCAAGATTCCCAACCTTCAACATCACATCATCAACTCCCAACCATCAACCTCAGTCTAGTAGGGCCACAGACACACACTCCACTCACTCCAGGATATTAAGCATCTCCGGCTCAATTTGAAGGTAAGTAACAAATACTGAACCTCACTAGAGTTCATGTATTTCACACAGCTTGCTCATCAACAAAATTAAGCTGAAAAATGTATTATGGTTTGAAGAATTATAATAGTAAAAAAAAAATATTTAGTTTTCTTTGAGACTGAGGACTGTATCCCTATTTTTCCCATATGTTTTTCAGTTCATAAGTTGTGGAAATTATTGGTAGCACAGTTTTCAGGAATGTAACCCAAGTGAATTATGAAGTTTACTGTATAAACAATACACGTAATTGAACCCTTTAACGTTAAGTAATGCACTGTAGTTAACTCCTTTGTGGGAAAATTTGAAAACAAAAACAATTACAGCTTGAAAACACATATTTTTCAAAAGAGAACTATGAAAAAAAGTGATTTCCAAAGGAAGATAATGGTTTCTGGGTGTTTTAAAAAGTTGGAAAAATAATCACTTAGCAGCAACAATGATGTAAATACATATGTATATCAGTACAGTGGACGCTCGGTTAATAATGCTATCGGATAGCGATAAAATTGGATACTGATGCGTTTTTGCGTCAAAATATTGGCTTGGCTAATTATGAAAAACCCAGTGAAGGACATTCGTCTCGAACATGTCTGCCTGGCCTGGGCCAATGTACAGCCAGTGTGCCATTGTTTACAAGCCAGGGAGGGCATGATTCCACACTTATATGCCATATATTTTGTATTATTCTATTGTTTTTAGTGCTTGTAACTGTTAAATAAGCCACCATGGGCCCAAAGAAAGTTTCCAGTGCCAGCCCTGTAATAAAGAAGGAAAGAAACAAAATAAAATTCAAGAAAAAACTCGTAGCAAAGTATCAGAGTGGAGGAGGAAGAGAGAGGAGGGGAATGTGCCTTCTGCAGTGATTCGGTGATTCTACAATATTTACGACACTAAAGCAGCAGGTATCGATAAAGGCTATAGTGCCAGCCAGCGGTGAAGTGTAGAATTAACAATGTAGCAAGTAAGTTAAGCGAGTAAGCGATAGAAAAAGACACTAAAGTAACTTTCCAATGTTGTTGGATGTGTATCGGGCCAGTGAACATACACTTGCCGGCTACATATCTTCCACCACCCTAAACTTCTGCCAGCATCTCCTCCATCAAACTAACTAAATAAACTAACATCTCCTCCAAGGTAAGTGTATATATAAAAGTGTAAGTATAAAAGTAAATATAAGTGTAAATATAAAGGACTCCAATGGAAATAAGTCACCCTGACTTATTTTGGGTTATCCTAGGTACTTTACACATATGCTGCCGTGTATGATAATCTATGTACATAACTGTATTTGTGTATACCTGAATAAACTAACTTATTTATAAATTAAAATTTTTTTTTTTTTCCACAAGTCGGCTGTCTCCCACCGAGGCAGGGTGACCCAAAAAGAAAGAAATTCCCCCAAAATAAAATACTTTTATCATTCAACACTTTCACCTCACTCATACATAATCACTTTTTTGCAGAGGTGCCCAGAATACAACATTTTAGAAGCATATACAGTAGGGCCCCACTTATACGGCGGGTTAGGTTCCAGGCTGTCGCCAGAAAGCAGACATCGCCGGAAGGCAGAACGCCATTTTTTTCCATTTATAAATGCATATAAATGCCAGACAACAAGTTTACACTAAATTATATTAAGTTAGTAATAGAACTAGGCATTAAAACACACAAAGTAAAATACATTCAGAGTACATTCATTACTTTTCTTAAAGTATTTGTAATCTTAATGTAGGGAGAGAGGTGAGTAGTACTTATTTGTAGGAAGTCAGGTGCAGGTAGCCCAGGTGTAGGTAGCCCTGGCTCCCCGTCTCATACTTATTATATGATATTTAAAACATCCTAGAGAGGTAAGATACACATACAGTACACTCATTATTTACCTTAAAATTTGTGTAGTCTTAATATAGGAAGAGAGGTGAGTAGTATTTATTTGTAGGAAGTCAGTGTAGGTAGCTGGTAGGTGTAGCCCGCCTGGGCTACACCTACCGGCTATCTACACTGTGGCCCAGAGCCATATTATTAACCCTTAAACTGTCCAAACGTAGATCTATGTTTTTTCAACATTTGAATGTATGTAAAATGCCGGGAGCAATGGGCTAGTAACCCCTTCTCCTGTAGACATTTACTAAAAAAGAGAAGAAAAACTTTAAATGTGCGTGGATGTAGTGCGGATGACAAGAAACAGATGATTGCTGATGTTATGAATGAAAAGAAGTTGGATGTCCTGGCCCTAAGCGAAACAAAGCTGAAGGGGGTAGGAGAGTTTCAGTGGGGGGAAATAAATGGGATTAAATCTGGAGTATCTGAGAGAGTTAGAGCAAAGGAAGGGGTAGCAGTAATGTTAAATGATCAGTTATGGAAGGAGAAAAGAGAATATGAATGTGTAAATTCAAGAATTATGTGGATTAAAGTAAAGGTTGGATGCGAGAAGTGGGTCATAATAAGCGTGTATGCACCTGGAGAAGAGAGGAATGCAGAGGAGAGAGAGAGATTTTGGGAGATGTTAAGTGAATGTATAGGAGCCTTTGAACCAAGTGAGAGAGTAATTGTGGTAGGGGACCTGAATGCTAAAGTAGGAGAAACTTTTAGAGAGGGTGTGGTAGGTAAGTTTGGGGTGCCAGGTGTAAATAATAATGGGAGCCCTTTGATTGAACTTTGTATAGAAAGGGGTTTAGTTATAGGTAATACATATTTTAAGAAAAAGAGGATAAATAAGTATACAAGATATGATGTAGGGCGAAATGACAGTAGTTTGTTGGATTATGTATCGGTAGATAAAAGACTGTTGAGTAGACTTCAGGATGTACATGTTTATAGAGGGGCCACAGATATATCAGATCACTTTCTAGTTGTAGCTACACTGAGAGTAAAAGGTAGATGGGATACAAGGAGAATAGAAGCATCAGGGAAGAGAGAGGTGAAGGTTTATAAACTAAAAGAGGAGGCAGGTAGGGTAAGATATAAACAGCTATTGGAGGATAGATGGGCTAATGAGAGCATAGGCAATGGGGTCGAAGAGGTATGGGGTAGGTTTTAAAAATGTAGTGTTAGAGTGTTCAGCAGAAGTTTGTGGTTACAGGAAAGTGGGTGCAGGAGGGAGAGGAGCGATTGGTGGAATGATGATGTAAAGAGAGTAGTAAGGGAGAAAAGTTAGCATATGAGAAGTTTTTACAAAGTAGAAGTGATGCAAGGAGAGAAGAGTATATGGAGAAAAAGAGAGAGGTTAAGAGAGTGGTGAAAGCAATGAAAAAAGGGAGAGCAAATGGAGAGAGTGGGTGAGATGTTATCAACAAATTTTGTTGAAAATAAGAAAAAGTTTTGGAGTGAGATTAACAAGTTAAGAAAGCCTAGAGAACAAATGGATTTGTCAGTTAAAAATAGGAGAGGAGAGTTATTAAATGGAGAGTTAGAGGTATTGGGAAGTGGAGGGAATATTTTGAGGAATTGTTAAATGTTGATGAAGATAGGGAAGCTGTGATTTCGTGTATAGGGCAAGGAGGAATAACATCTTGTAGGAGTGAGGAAGAGCCAGTTGTGAGTGGGGGGGAAGTTTGTGAGGCAGTAGGTAAAATGAAAGGGGGGTAAGGCAGCCGGGATTGATGGGATAAAGATAGAAATGTTAAAAGCAGGTGGGGATATAGTTTTGGAGTGGTTGGTGCAATTATTTAATAAATGTATGGAAGAGGGTAAGGTACTAGGGATTGGCAGAGAGCATGCATAGTTCCTTTGTATAAAGGCAAAGGGGATAAAAGAGAGTGCAAAAATTATAGGGGGATAAGTCTGTTGAGTATACCTGGTAAAGTGTATGGTAGAGTTATTATTGAAAGAATTAAGAGTAAGACGGAGAATAGGATAGCAGATGAACAAGGAGG